TGAGGGGAAAGTTGTTAAATGTGAACATAGGCAAATGTTACACAGAAGTGACAGTGGATGAACCACAGCTGGCCAAGTCTCAGACACATAATATCGAGGGACAGTGCAGGTTGTAGAAAACCATATATTGTTTAGTTTTACAGTACTTTCTGTTTTTTTCTTTATTGATGAAGGTATTACATATGTGTCCTTATCCCCCCATTGCCCCTCCCCCCCTCCCCCCCACCACTCATGCCCTCATCCCCCCTGGTGTCTGTGTCCATTGGTAGGCTTATATGCATGCATACAAGTCCTTTGGTTCTTCTCTCCCCCTTACCCCCACCCTCCCCTACCTTCACTTTCACAAAATTATTATTACTAAAGCAAGGGACCAAAGAACCCTGAACTTGAGCAGTTTTCCTGGGGCGGAGGTGGTGGGGAGGACCCCCTGTGTATGCACTGTGGTCATGCTTAGGCCTTGAGAGGGCGTGGGGTCACAGGTGCTCATTTTGTTTGTGCCTCTCATGTAGTTTGCACTTACTGTTGTATATGTACCCAGCAGTGCATAACAAAGGGTAGGAAACCGAGAAGCAGCAAGAAGACATTAGGGCTGGTCATGCCTTTTCTGGAGCAGATTCTGGCATTTAAGAGTAAGAAGGAACATTTCCTGCTTATGTAGCCAGTCAGTGTTGCAGAGTAAATAAAACATGGGCATGCCTCCAGCAGAGGAGGGCGGAGGGAAATAATATTTTTATTCTGTACCAAAAAAGGAAGTTTACCTTTCAGCGTGGAGACTCGTTTTTTCTGAGTGGTATTTCAGATGACAGCTATTTCAAAGGAATGCAGACTTCTTGGGTTGTTCAAGTTGATGTGACTGATTTAGTAGAAGTGTGTGTTACAGCCAGAGAGACACTATTTCTTAAGGATGTGAGTTCTGAAGAACACACTTTAAAAATAGTTTGGAGTGTCTGTGGTATTTCAGACTCCACCTGGCTGGTTTCATTGTATTTCCAGTCTGTAGAATCGCACCCGTTTCCCACTGAAGCTTTCTTTGAAGAGCATTATAGGCTCTTTCCTTTTGTCAGCCCCACAGGAAGGAGCCAGGCAGGCCAGGCTCTGGTCCCCATACAGCACTAACCTCTCCAGGCCTCGGCGCCTGCACACGGGCAAGTCCCGGGCCCCCGAGAGCTCCCTCGTCGTTGCCCCTGCCCACTTGATTCGGTGAACTGGCGGGGCAGGGTCCGCCTGTGGCAGCTGAGCAAGGCGGGCTTAGGAGGACATTGCTTCTCTGCCACCTCCTGGCCTCTTACATGTCTAGACAAGAAGGCCCTTTCTAAAGGCCTGCAGACTCAGCAAGGAAAATTCACTGTTCTTAAGACTTCGAGTACTGGGTTTTTCTAAAGCCAGACAGAATAAGAAAGAGGGATTAAGAGGATGGGACCGGAAGCCAGAGGCCTGGGATCAAATCCTAGTTCTACCACTTGCTGGCAATGTACCTCCTCTGTAAAATAAAGATAAGAATAATAACTCCCTGTAGGATCGTTATGAAGATTCAGTGAGTAGACTTGTGTGAAGTTCTTAGAGTGTGCCTGGCACATCACCAGAGCTCAGTTAGTGCTGTCCAGCTCTGGTTAGGGAGCCAGTGTTTTATATTACCTCTAAGTCAGTCCTGTTATGATTACCAGTGTCTGAGAGCTTTCTTGGGAATTTCAGCCGCGCAGGAGAAGCGTGGAAATGGTGACCATGTTTGGCAGGTTGTATGTAGGCGCAAACTGGGAGGTGATTTCCGTCCAGCAGCTCAGAAAAGCTCATGGCTTGCCTCAGGTCACCCAGCTGGAAAGGCAGGATGTAGACCTATGTGGTCAAAATAAGAAATACCCACGTCAGCCTTGTGTGCTGCCCAAGCTTGGCTGGCTTTGCTCCTGAGCCCAGGCTGTTAGGGGTGTCAGTGGTCTCTGCTCTGTGGCGCATGTGCTGCCCTGTGGGGCCCAGGCTTTGGTGGCTCCTCGCTCCTGTGGTGAGCATTTAGTAAGCAGCGGTATGGACAGTCGTCGTCCTCCCCTCCCCCCAGGCAGCGTATCGTTGGGCAGGCGGTCGGTAAGTGGGTATAGCAGCTGTTTCTAACTCAAGGGGTAGAGACCAAAGGGAAACAGGAGCAGGATGTTAACATGGTGGTCTCTAAGTAGACAGGGTTAAGGGGAATTATTTTTATTATCTTACTTTTTTGCTTCTGTGTCCATTCACTCAGCACATGTTTATTGGGTGCTCAATGTGCACCAGGCTGTGTTCTGGGCACTGAGGAGCTGGTGGTGAAGATAGGCAGGGCCCTGCTCCTACAGAGGGCATGCGGGGCACAGGAGAGAAACAAATGAACTGAGCATAAGCAGGAAAACGCCAGTAGAGAGAAGGGCTCTGCTGACAAGTAAGACTGGTGATTTGATGGAGTGGCTGGTGGTTCCCAGGAGGCGATGTGTAAACTGAGATCTGCATGACAAGAAAGAGCCAGTCGGTGACTTGGTGACTCGGGAAGGATGGCAGGCGGAGGAAGCAGGTGCTTAGAGTGAGGCAGGGACAGTGGCGTGCGGGTCCCTCTGAGGTGGCAGTGAGCGGAAAGGAGAGTGCGGCACGTTGGTGGCACGTGAAGAATTCGCCTTCAGGTCTCTCCTTCCCCAGGGCACCCCAGGCCCACCTGTAGGATGACTTGGCTTATCCTTTGACCTTTTGCTGAGGTGAGCCTGGCCTCTAGTCTCTGGGCTTGGCTCACCACCCTGTGCTGCTCAGTGTAGGGATGGGGACCAGGCCACCCTGTGAGCATTATGGACATCAGACATCACCTGAAGTCCGTGGAAGTAACTCCCTCAGCTGCCCACCGAAATCTGCCCTGTTTCTCCACGGCCGCCACCGGGAGGGTCATGGCTTTGGTTTTACACTATACAATGTGGAAACACCTGCAAGGTTCCTTTTGTCAGTGCCTTGAGCTCCTTTTGAGAAAAGTGTTAGGTCACTGGTGTGCCTGAAACCAAGTCCGTGGGGTCCTGGCAGAGGGCATCGCGGCTCCCCCTTCTCTCAGTGCTCTCAGCGGCTCTTCAGGGGAGGCTGACAGCCGCCCCCAGCGCCCCAGAGTGACCAGCCGGGTCTGGGTCACACAGAAATCATGGGCGGTCTACATTTTCCCATGCAGCTCTGCAGTTTTTCAAATGTCTCACACTGGAAAGTTGTCCTGATCACATTTCCATTGCAGGGCCTGCCCCATGGGGCGGGGTGGGTGTGTGAAGCCATCAGGTGCCCATTCCATGGTTCCCAGTCCTGGGTGGCATCGCCATCTGTCATTAGTGGGTATTTCTAGTAGCTGAGCCTCCGAGTGTTAGAAATGGAGACTCTGGCCCAGGGGTCACACGCCAGCTGCCATTCTTGGAGGAGGGAAGGGTTCTGAGGGGTGCTCTTCATACAGCCACGGGCCTAAAGGAAGTCCTGCCTGTTGGCGCCCACAGAGCCCCTAGGCCAAGAGAAGCATGCCGCTAGGCTTGGGCTAGAGTTCTCCCTGTGGCAGGGCTGGTGCTAGGCTTGGGCTCTCCGTGGCCCCTTGGAGATGGCAGAGAATTGAGTCATTTGTCAGAAAGGGGGTCTTGGGAATTAAGGATTTGGGGAGACCAAATCCTTATCCGATAATTGTGGCTTACCCGATAATTTTAGAAGTACGGAGCCTGGTCACTGGCTGCCTGGTGCCTGGTCCAGCGGTCACAGTGCTGGACTTGGATTCCTGGTCCCCTGTGTCCTGGTTCTGTGCACTCTACCACAACACATTGTTTGCTTTTGAGCATGGTTTGTTAAGAATGCGGTCCATGATTTGTCATTTGCAAAGCTACTTTGAGAAGTAGCAGAGAGGTGAGGTCGTGAAAGAATTCTCTTTCCTTTATGACATAATTACACACCACAGTCATCAGGGTGTTTGACCCTTGACCCAGCGAGGGAGGTGTAGCCCATCACACTCCCATTTCCTGGACTGGGGGACTGAGGCTAAGTAACTACATTACATGGCAAGAGTGGAGCTAAAATGGCAGAACTAGGTCTTCTGACCCTGGTGCTTGCTTTACAGGATCTTTAAAAATGACTGCACTTCAACACCTGTGTAGGCTGCTCTTCCGGAAACTAAATGGTCAGGCACGTTGGTAAAGAAAATTGGAATTCCTTATGTGTGTTTTCAGTAGTGGGTTTCTGCTTTTAGACAAATGAAGAACAGGTAATGTTATAGGAGGTGTCGGAAACCTGTTTTGAACTGCCCTGTGCTTGTTCCTGTGACTGCTGGGTCCTGGGAGGAGCTGCCCAGGTGGCTCTTTGTGGGAAGATCTGCCTTGTGTGAAGGGTGTCATTGTCCAGCATGGGAACAGGGTGCTTTCTACCTGGTCAGCCCCTCATAGTCCGCTCCACGTCTCCACCTGACACGCCCTCGGGGCTCTTCTGCCCCTGGAAGGGAGAGAGGAGAGTGCATGGACAGTTTACCTGCTTTATTGTCTACAAGTCAAGTCTGAAATACTGGGTTTTCCTTGAAATTTTTTAAGCATGTACATGCAGTTTTTTAAAGCCCACTTTTTGGATAGTGATATACAGTTTGATTCTCTACCCAACAAGAAGTCATTGAAATTTGGATGCCCCCATTCAGTTAGTGAAGAGGACATTTCTTTCTTTTTTTGGCTGAATCTTACTGTTTTTCTGGTGTGTGTAAAGGATTTTTTCCCCTCTTCATTCTCTCGCCTGCATGAGTAGTAGTTATAAGCTCTGTTATTGCTAGCTTGGCTGATGCAGAGTCATAATAGTCCTTTCTCTGGAGGCTGAAATGACCACTGTGGGGAAGAATGTGGCAACTGTCCATATTGTCCTGACTAGACTGTTGTCTTTTGGAGAGTCAGCTCGGGCTGGTCATGTGAGCTGAGGTCTCAGCCACCCCTGACTGAGCTTCCTTGTGATGGTCGTGGTACCCTTTTCTCCTGTAGGAAGATGGAAACGTGTCCTCACTCAGGGGCTGCATGCACAGGAAAATGAAAGCCAGCTAATCGAGGCTTGCAGAGGATTCTCAGACTTCATGTTGATGTGTGTGTCCTATAGTGTCATGTGGTCCTCACCTTGATATGCCTACAGATGATGGGAGCTTGGTAAGAGTGTTATGTTCCCTATGTGCTATCCTCAGTTACTGTGTGCCTGGGGTTTTGAATAATGTCCCCAGGAGATTCTGGTATGTGTGGTCAGTGGACCTAGTGCTGTAGGAAGCAGGAAGGGGGCCGTGTCCTCTCCCCACAGCTCTCCCTGTCACCTGCCTTGAGGCAAATGAAGTGTATGCGGAGCATAAGAGGCTGCCAGACAGATAGTTTGAACTGCTATCTGGGCTGAAGTTTCAGTTCAATTCATTCAGCAGTATTTATTGATTATGACTGGATTGTTACAGTCAATATTGACTGACCTGTGACTGTTAGGTTTTGGAGGCAGGGAGAGATGATTATTGCTGTTCCCTCATCGCTGGTCTTGATCCTTGATCCCTGAAAAGCTACTGTCAAAATGTCTTGTCGGGTCGGGTGCACATCTTCGCAGCACAAAACCAGCCTGGCGCCATAGCAGCAGAGAGACACGTGGGCTCTGCTCAGGGCCCATCGCGCTGCTCTGAGCCAGAAAAGCCTCTTTTTTCTCCTGTTATGGGCACTCTCGGTTTAGCAGGAATTTCCCCAGCCAGCTCTGGAAGCACATTTTTTTAATGGAATTCTTCTTGTCTCAAGGCTAGGGGCCTCACTCTAGCCTTGGAATTTTTTGTTTGTTTGTTTAGTTTTCTTCTGCTTGCTGATTTTTAGTCTATTTTCAGGCTCCACTGTCTTTTGAATTCTTGTATTTTCAATGCCAGAATTTTTCTTCCCCAGCTTGACCCTGCAAACGTGGTGATTCAGCTGTTCCTTGATGGGCATCATCATAAGCCACTCTCAAAAAGAGCCATGATCCCAGCTCTGCCTGGGGTGCCTGGGCCATGGGTAGGTGTGTCAGGAGAGCCTGGCTGCTCCCCGCACTTGTGCAGCGGCCCGCTGGAGGCTCTGGAGGCAGTCAGTGCTCCGTTTGTGTTTGTTGTTTGGCTGTTGCCCGCTTTCCTCCTCCCTGGGTGCTTTGCACAGAGCTCAGGGGTGCGGGTGATAGAAACCTGCATTGCTGCTGGTTACAAGTGGGCTTGTGCAGCTGAGAAGTCCAAGGAGAGGTTCAAAGGATGGTCTGTCTTGCTCCTTCTGGCTGCTTGCTTGCTTCTGTGTCATCTTCAGACTTAGGTAAAGCCTGGCCCTGCTGGCTTCCTAGTAGTTTCAGAGCCCATCCAGAGAGGTAGGTCTGCAGGAGGTCCAGTCTGGATGGTCAGTCGGCCCCTGATCTAGCCACTATGGCTGGGGGCTGGTGGTGCTCCGACTGATGGGGTCTGAGCGGGCCTGCTCCTGGTCACTTCCCCTCTGGAAGACCAAGGCTCTTTACAAGATAAGGCAAATGGATGTTGCACAGGCAGAAACAACAGATTCCATTTCTAGTAAAGATTCTTTGGCTTCAAGAACCTTCCCTAGTCCTGGGGACTAACTGTAGAAAGGTCAGTGTCCCCAAGTGAATAGTCTGTGGCTTTTGAGATGGAGTCTCCAGAGCTCCCCAGGGCCTTTGGGAAGACCTGGCAGAAATGTGCACTGCCCACTGGCAGCTCCCCGCACCGCGGAGAGGTTCCGTTTCTTTGCCTTTGGTTGGATTTTATCAAGTCATTGTGGTTACCAATAGTCATCTCATGTGTATCAGTCATTTTGCTGCCTCCACTCAAAAAAATCTAAAGTTGTAACAATTGTGTAAACTCACTTGCTTCATTCACCACTATGGTAAAATCCTTCTAGTAATTCCTGATAATAGTGTTAATGAAAAAACATTCAAACCTGTGAAGAATTTTTGTGAGTTTATTTGAGCCAAACTGTCGACAATTGCTGAGAAGCAGAATTGGGAGAGTGCTCGGAGAATGGCAGTTTTTCACCTTGTTTTATACATTGCAATCCAAAGAGGAGACGTAAGTGGGTCACATGAAATCCACTGGTGACAGATTAGGGAGGCGGGAGAGAGCAAAGCGGAGAGTGGATAAAAAGTAAAATGATAGACACATGCTTCTTTTACTTAGGTGGTGCAGGATAGTTCACAGTCAACAATTAACACGATAACAGTAACAATGAAGGGATTTATGGTCTCTGTTCTGGTGCCCAGGTACATTTGGTTGTCTCCCAATGGAGAGGGGCGGGAGTTACAAGTTACTCTGACATTTCATAGGTATGTTATCGTAAATGCAACAAGACAATAGGCTCGGTTAAGGTAAAAATTGACCTTGTCAGGGAAAATACAGGCCTAGAACATGACAACCCGCCATAACTGCTTTTAGTTGAAGTTTTAATTTCAGACATCCTCTGTGGTTACTTTAGGTCTTTAAGTTTGCAAGACCGCCACGCAGGCCTTCCCCGAGCTGGTCAGGTTGGCATGTCCACAACAGAAATATTTCTAAAGGCATTTCTAGTTCCTGATGTCCTGGTGGCATTTGTCCCTCCCGTTGTCAGCATATAATTTATGAAAATGAGTCCTGCCACTTTTTTCTTTTAGTCTCTATCTTACAAAGTTTATTTTCCCTTCTTGTTTTGACAGTGTTCCCACCACTACCCTCCCCATATCTGTCTTGGAGTCCTAATAAATGGCTGCATGTTTGTGAACTTACCATATTCCCGCACGCTTGAGTGAAGAGCTCAGAAGGTAACAAATTACCCGGTTTAGTTACTTTTGCATGTACATTAGTTCAGGCTCAGCAAGTCGGAGAAAAGAAAACTGGCAAATTGAGAAGGCAAGTTTGGAAAGTGGAGGAAACATTCATTCAAAAGCGAGTGAGAACAAAACAATTCAGATTCTGGAACTAACACCGTGTGTGTATTTGAGGATGGTGTGTGTTTGGGGCTGGCTTTTGGGAGAAGATGCCTGGCAGATATTTTTGGGGAGGGGGAGGTGTTTACTTACTGCCCAATCTGAGGTTGAGGGGCGATGTTTTAAAAATGGAAAAACCGAGGTCTGAGTAGGACAAGTGCGACAGAGCCACAGAACAGGGGTCCAGTCTTCAGCCTGGAGGAGCCTAGGAGAGCGGAGCCAGGCTGGCGCTGCTGTGGTCCCCCAGCCTACTCACGTGTCACAGGTTCTTACGGATGGGATTGGAAGGCTTTTTGGGGTGTGTGTGTGTGTGTGTGTGTGTTTTAATCCTCTCCTGAGGATATTATTAAATTGATTTTTAGAGAGAGAGAAAGAGCGAGAAAGACATGGATGTGAGAGAGAAAAAGTGATTGGTTACCTTCTGTATACGCCCTGTCTGGGGATCGTACCCGCCACCTAGGCATGTGACCTGACCTGGAATCAAACCCACAACTTTTTTGGTGTACAGGATGACACCCTGATCAACTAAGCCACCCCCGGCCAGGGCGGAATTGGAAGTTTTGATCTGCAAAGTCTTGGGTGAGGCGTGTAACCCATTTGGCCGTGAAAATAGTTTCTCAAAGGTGCCTTTGGGTGTTTTATCCTACCAGGAATTTCTTTTTTTTAATGTGTTTTTATTGATTTCAGAGAGGAAAGGAGAGGGAGAGAGAGATAGAAACATCAATGATGAGAACCATTGATCGGCTGCCTCCTGCCCGCCCCCTACGGGGGATCGAGCCCACAAGCTGGGCATGTGCCCTGACCGGGAATCGAACCCTGACCTCCTAGTTCATAAGTTAAATACAAACCACTGAGCAATGCCAGGCCTATCGGGAATTTCCTGTCTCCAGATCTCAGCCTTCCCACCATTTGTTAGTCCTGAAAGTGGCTCTTGTCCGTAGCTTTAAGAAAATGGCAGGCAGTCATTCATATTACATAAATTTTATATATATATTTTTTAATATAACAAGCATTTTATTAGCTTTTTCCTTCTTGAAGCCTATTTCAGAGACTGTTAACAGATGTCTCTGCAGGTGGAGCCTGTGAGGGCCGCTCCTGCCTTGGTCTGCAGCCCATTTCTCTTCCCAGCCTGCGTCTGTCAGCAGGAGCACCCTGACCCTTGCTCACAGGCACTCTGCCCTCTCTTTGCTCCCAAAGGCCTGGGAGACTCTGTGGGTGCCCTGGCTGCACCTCATGGCCTCTCCCTAGTCTTTCTGGGGACACTAGGTCCAGTTGTTCTGGTCCACCCCCCAAAGTGGCAGGACTAGAGAAGGGCAGCAGAGCCCAGCGTACCATGTCTCCCTCAGGAAATTGTGGTGTTTTGTGTGTTTTTCATTATATTGTCAACCGTTTGGGGCCTTTTTACCAGGATGGTTTGCTGTCATGCTTAACTGAAGCTGCTTTCATACCTGGAGGAAGGTGGTCCCAGCTCTACCTGCTTCTCCTTGAGAAGTGGGACAGTCTGACCTGCTGTGCACCAGATGGAATAACAAAGGAAGTGCCATGTTCCTGGCACATCGCACAGCCCCTGGGTATTAAGTACCTCCGAACGTTACTGCTGATTTTGATGTGTGTGCTTTAATCTGGGAGATGCTTATTAAAAATCAGAGTCTTTTTTTCTTTTCGAGGCCCACCCCATCTCTGCCAGCACTGACTGTTGCTGTGAATGAAAACAATTAAAATCAAGTGTGCGGTCACTGTGAGAGTTTCTATGCCTGGTCCTTTGGCAGGCCTGAGCGGATTCGGGAGAGCCGCCAGGTAGTGGAGAGGCACAATATCCCTGCCTTCAGCTGGAGCTCCGTTCTGTGGAGGCAGAACTCTTGTCATATTGGAGCGTAGGGAGAGGTCGCATTGGCCAGAGCATATGTACTGATTGTCACCAGGGTGAGATTTTACGAGCTGCCTTTCTTATTTGTATTGCAGCATGTGATGAGTGATGGCTGATTGCATTTCCTCTGGCTTTCCCCCACCAAACATCTTTTGTTGACTTATTCTTTCGGCTGCCCATTGCCTGTCTGAGGCGTTTGATAAAGGTGGGAGTCCATTGTTTGTCTGGCAGAAGCCTCACAGCAGCTTGATGGAGAGTAAGGGCACGAGGAGGGGAGAAGGGAGGACAGCTAGCCTGGTGGTGGCATTAGTCAGCTCTAGGCTTCAGGTTCCTTATCTGTGCGAGGGGAAGAACAGTCTTTACCCAGAAGGTTTTCATGAGTATTAAGTGAGATGGCCTGGCCGGAAAGGCGCAGCAGGCATAGGTTGGGGACGGGGCAGTGGGTGGTTGGGGATGGGGCAGTGGGTGGTTGGGGGCGGGGCAGTGGGTGGTTGGGGACGGGGCAGTGGGTGGTGTGGGACGGGGCAGTGGGTGGTTGGGGGTGGGGCAGTGGGAGATTGAGGGCGGGACAGGTGAGAGGTTGGGGATGTGGAGAAGGAGGTGGGCAGATTTGACTTGGAAGTTGGGGATGGGGCAGTGGGTGGTTGGGGGCGGGGCAGTGGGTGGTTGGGGATGGGGCAGTGGGTGGTGGGCAGCTTTGTCTGGCAGTCCCTGGAGTCTCCTGGACTTTTCCTCATTTTATAAATGAGGAATAATCTACGTCACTACTTCCTGTTTATCCCCTCAGGTCTCCTCAGCTTTGAAGACCATACTGAGGGTAATTTCTGGCAAAAGTCCTTCCCGTGCCTGCCTTTGCGGCCTTAACAGCCAGCTGAGGTGGTGGTTCTGGCTTTGCATCTTCAGATCCCCTCTGCTCCCTCCCCTGGCAGACTGTGGCCTTCCTGAGGAAAGGGACATTGTTTTCAGTCTGTTTCATAAATTTATTCAACAGGGTTAAATGATGTCAGGCACAGTACTAGGTGCTGGGTATTCATCGGTGAAAAGACTAATGGGTCACCAACCTTGTGGACCAGCGCCCACTGTCGGAGACATGGATCTCACTCTAGCTCAGTAAATGTTTCTTTTCTGGAGCGGGAATAGACGTGTTTGTGGCATTGGGCTGGGTGAGCCGGTTCATGCAGAACCCTGAGCCTCAGTTTTCTCCTCTGGAAATGAGGGGGTTGGGCTAGAACCAGATTATTTCTGAGCTGCATTATACAGCTCGGGCCAGATGCTGGAGACTCGAAAGCCCAGCCATGCTCTAGAAGAGTAGTTGGGAGCCTTTATGAAGAGTCAGGAGAAAAGGGTTGCTCACGGAGAAATCCCTGGGCAGTTTAAGCATGTGGACCAAAGCCAAATGTTAAAGGTGTAGAGAGGCATTTTGCGTATAAGATATACTGAGATGAGAGGCTTTTTATTCCGAAAGATAATTTACAATCAACCTTTCCCAACATTGCTTCTGTAGTTGGCTTTTGCCGTGCAATGAAGACAACCCATAGAAGAGCCATTTCAATGGTAGCATTTTGAAAATAGAAAATAATCATAAAGTTTACTTCCTTTCTTCCAAAGGCTTAACCTTTAGCCTGTCATACTGACCTTTCCGTTTTGAGAGAGAGATGGGACCTCTTTCATCCTCGGGAGGCTGGAGTGTGCCCAGTGTTGCCCCCGACATGCCCCAATACCTGCTGTGGACAGTAGCTGCCCCGAAGCTGCCTGCTGTCGCGGCGCTCCTGCACAGTGAGTGTCTTTCTTTCTTTCTCTAGGTCATGGCTTCCAGCTTCTCAGAGCTGAGTCTCCAGCAGAGGAAACAGAAATGACTGTCGGGGGTCTTGCTCCAGGTCTGTTACGGAGACTGAGCCTTCGCACGGTGCGAGCTTGCTCAGGACAGGAGAGTCTCTCTCTTTGAAGGGCTTTACGTTCGTTACAAAGAAAATAAAGATGACGACTTCGTCAATCAGACGGCAAATGAAAAACATTGTGAACAATTACTCAGAAGCCGAAATAAAAGTGCGGGAAGCCACCTCCAATGACCCCTGGGGCCCGTCCAGCTCCCTGATGACCGAGATCGCGGACCTGACCTACAATGTGGTGGCCTTCTCGGAGATCATGAGCATGGTGTGGAAGCGGCTCAATGACCACGGCAAGAACTGGCGGCACGTGTACAAGGCCCTGACGCTGCTGGACTACCTCATCAAGACGGGCTCTGAGCGGGTGGCCCAGCAGTGCCGAGAGAACATCTTTGCCATCCAGACGCTGAAGGACTTCCAGTACATTGACCGCGACGGCAAGGACCAGGGCATCAACGTGCGTGAGAAGTCGAAGCAGCTGGTGGCCCTCCTCAAGGACGAGGAGCGGCTGAAGGCTGAGAGGGTCCAGGCCCTCAAAACCAAAGAGCGCATGGCCCAGGTTGCCACCGGTATGAGCAGCAACCAGATCACCTTTGGTCGCGGCTCCAGCCAGCCCAACCTCTCTACCACCTACTCGGAGCAGGAGTATGGCAAGGCTGGGGGATCACCAGCCTCCTATCATGGCTGTGAGTAGTGGAGTGTGCCTCACCCTTTGCCAGTAGCGCTGGGCAGCAGGTGGGAGGGGCCCTTGGGCTGAGCGAGATGGTGCGTCATCTCAGCTTCTGGCCGCCTAGACAGCAGTATTCCTTCGTCTGCACTGAGTTACTGTGACAAAGGGGCTTTCGGCCTATGACTGCTTTGGCTCCAGTGTCTCAAGAGCCTCTGCTTCTGAGTCTGCTTCTGTACATCTAGGCAGGACTGCCTTCGGGAGAAGGGGAGGAGGCAGGCCTCCTGTTTCCTCCTGGGAAGGGCCTCAGTGAAGGGCTGCCTGCTGCACAGACAGTGGGGAGTTGACTGTACTTGGTAGCTGGGAGGAAACTAGTGCTTTTTCTGGATAATCTTGTTTCTTTAATCTCATATTGTTTTTCTAATGATTGGGCTACAGGTCTCCTGACCGGCTCAGTGTACTTTCTACTTTGGCATCAGAGGGCACGAGATGGTATGTCTCTGTGTCACTGAAACAAGGCCTCCGCAGGTGTTCCTGTGGGCAAGGGCTCCTTTCCCACCTGCAGATGAGAGTTCGTGGTGCTTTGTTGGCATGGCCAGGTCTGTGCTGGGGGCTGCGTCCTCGTTTTGCATGTCGGATCACCCGTGGCCCAGTGTTCAGAGGAGGTGGCAGGGAACAGAAGTGGAGGTCAGGCCTGATGGAAGCTGGCCTCTGTGAACAGTGTGGCATCCTGGCTGCTCACTGAAAGTGGTCCCAGGAATCGCTCCTTGGCCTTCACAGTGCGGTGTAGAGACAGGTGGCCCAGTCAGTGGCCTGGGGGTGGGCTGCAGTGGAGGATGCAAAAATAAAAGTATAGGTCCCCATACTCTTTCTTTCTGGAATCAGTAACACTTAGGTCAGCATTTTTTTTAAAGGAAGTTGTTTGTATTTTGACAAACCCGCCAACCCTTGCTTAATCAGTGGTCTGCTAACATTTCCTGCTTTTGCAGGTTTCAATTTGACATTGCACAGCCACCAGTAGCATTTTGAGACATGTGTCAAATAGGAAATTTGCATAGTAAAGTCAAACGCCCTGCCTCTAGAAATTGTAAATTATTGCCAAGCTGGGAGAGGTTAGCGTTTTCTTGTCCCGTCAGTTCCTCACTTAGTTTGAACTCTGTTTAAGCAAAGGTTGTGACCTTCATGAAAGCCTGCATCTTGGAAAAAATATAACCTGCATCTCCAGAGGTCTCCTTCCAGGCTAGGGTGCCCAGAAAATAAGACTGCCCTTCAGGAGTGAAGTTGTTTGTTTCTCTCAAGTTACCTCTCTCCATCCCCCAGAAAGGCCTGCAATGGGTTGAACTGGTCTCTAGTCCCGTTGGCTTCCTCTTGGGAAGTGGCTGTAGTTGTGCTGTGTGGCCACAGGGAGCTGCTCCTCTCTCTACCTGCCCTTTGCAGTCCTTGTTCTCAAGAAGCCAGAGGCTACAAAGCGAGGGGCTGGAATGGTGCTGTGTAGGATGCTCCAGTGGCAGGGGAGAGGTCATGGCGGGGGCAGGTGGGCGCCTGGGCGGGGCCTCTCATCACGGGTCCTGCCGGCCTTACACTGGGCTGCCTGCTGCTGCCACGTCCCAGCTCGACGGTTTCTGGTTCCCTCAGACCTTGAGCTTGAGCAGCATGTTCAGGGTCAGAATGTGGTGGGTCGGCAGGCTGTTCACTGCCTCTGAGAACGCCAGGCAGGCATTGGCCTCCGCTGGAACCTCTGCTACTCCCTCTCCCTCTAATGGCCTGTCTTTTTCTGTGTGTGTGTGTATGTCCCTGCCCAACAGCGCCCGAGACCTCGCTGTGCCCCCAGCACCGCACGGGGGTCCCGCTGGGTCAGAGCGAGGAGCTGCAGCCGCTGAGCCAGCATCACCCCTTCCTGTCGCACCTGGGGCCGGCCTCCCACCCAAATGGTGACTGGTCCCAGCCCTGCCTCACTTGTGACCGCGCAGGCCGAGGTGGGATGGCAGTTTGGTTTTCTCCTTCCTAGAAATGCTGGGCAGCTTGCTGGGGGGTGCGTGTCATGTCAGTACAGCCAACTCTCTCCCTGTGTCCTCTGGACCTCGTGGTCCAGCCTCCAGAAGACCCAGGGCCCTTTCTTCCTCTCCCCCGGGAGCTCAAGTCCTGGTCATGCTCCCCTCATGCTGCCTCATGTCACTTCTAGAAGTTCCGCCCAAGGCTTAAGAGGGGAGCTGCTGTTCGGGTCAGGCACGGGGTGGCTGTCCATGCTCTCCTGTGTCCCGTGCCCTGAAAAACGTGGAGGTGCCGTGGAGGACCAGACCACGTGGCCTGTTGAGCCGGAAGGTGTGGTTAAGTCTCCCAGTGCGGCAAACTGAGGGCCTCGGCGGATGGTCGCTGGAAGCCATCGTCCTTGATGCAGTGATACGAGCCTCGCTGAGGACAAAATGGGATTGTTTTTGCTTCTCAGTTAACTGCTGTTCTTCCTGAAATCCCCATTACAGTGGTGAACAGAGAGTTAGCTGTACTGTCGGTTCTAGGTCACAGTGTTTGAAGATACCTAATTCAATGGGTAATTAAAAATGGGGCTTCTCTTTTGACTAATTAATAATGTATCCTGGTCAGAGACAACAACTGTTGCAGGTTCAACCGAAAACAGATTTCACTGTTGCCTACAGGGAAATGCTCTCAATCTACCTGCCCTTGGTCCCCAGTGGGGCCCTGCCACCGAGAAGAAAGCTTTATTAGAAGGGTGCCAACAAAGAGCCTCTGTGAGCCTCCAGGAAGGTGTGGCCAGCCTGTATTCAGGCCAGAGACAGGGACTGTTTATTCCGGCCTCGTTCATGCTGCAGCGTTTGGATGTGGGCATTTGGGTGGTCCCTGTATTTAGCTCTGGGACATTTTCCTTTGTGCCCCCATCTTCCTCAGACAGTTTACAGAGGACCCTGTAAGGAGGGCCAGCGTTGCACGGTGTTCCCAAGGAGCTCCAAGTGTGCTGAGCTACCGTCTGCCTCCCACCAGACCTTCGGGGCTGTTCCCAGCAGGCCCCGTGCGCCCAGAACTCCAGGGTCTCCCTTTTTGTGTTTCCCAGGTTCTACCCATTTAGTAACCGGCAGGGTCTATGGTGAGTCTCTGGTTAGCTTTGTATTCACTGGCCCTCCAGCTCTTCTGTTGGCAGGCTGCCCCTCCTGGGACCTGGCATTAAAATCAGGCTGACACGCCCTTCCACTTCCTCCCACTCTGCCAGGACCAGACACCCTGCTCCACCAGGCCATCTGCCCCTCTGCCCCTTTGCCCTGCAGTTCCTGCCGCGGGGGCCTCCCCGCATATCTCGCAAGGTGCTCAGGGCATGCTGCCCAGGTGGATTTCTCTTCTCCTTCAGCTCTGGTAGGAATTAAGGTTAAAAATGAGTTTTATTTATTTTTTTGAGGATTTCTCCCACCCTAGATGAGTTTTGGGCGAACAAGTGTTACATGATGTCATGTGTCATGCTTCACCATGTGTGCATCCCTCTCTACACTTCACACGCTCCAGGACAGGGCTGTGGGGGCAGGGCCCTGTCCCGTGACTCCTGTCTCTTCTTTCTTAGCACCTGGCGAAGTGTTGAGTGGAAGGTAAATGCTAGCATCTGCATTTTGGCAGACTTGCTTTGGAACCCAGCAGTGGAGAAGTCAGACTGAAAACCAGCATTTCATGGGCTCATGAAGTGCAGGCTGGGATTCAGGGGGACATTTGTGAGAGCACACTTGGGACCCAGACCCCTCAGGGGAGGCCCGGTAGGCACGGCGCAGACCAGGACGGATGCAGGGAAGGCAGTTGCGAGAAGACCCCTTTGTAGGGAGGCTCTGGCATGGTGGCCGCTGTTCGCACCCCCAGTAATCGCAGCCGTTTGAGGAGAGCTTCCTTTTCCTACCATACCCATGTCCCCTCCCTGTGCGTCCTCCCTCCCTCTCCTCCCACAGACATCTATAGGCCTCATCTCAGAAACCCCTCCAGTGCTGTCTGTCCTTCATCTCTAGTTCCATGTCCTCAGTTCCCTGCCAGCTTTCTGGTTGGCTTCTTCCCCATTCTTATCCGCCCCCCCCCCCACTTTATACATCAGGTCTGATCTCTGATCTCAGAAAGCTCCTCTGGATCCCAGGGGTCCCCAGAGGCCCCGCTCAGAGCCTTTGGCATGGCGGACAATCCCTCCCTGGTGGTCCTTGGTTGCCCCTGCCAGCTTGAGTCTGCCGAGGTCTGCCTTGGGCACCACTCTGGGTGAAGCCTGCCCCAGCTGCACTCCAGCTCCCACGTTTCCTTGTTCATTCAGCAACTATGTATTCAGTTCCCACTGTGTGCCAAGCACTGTGCTAAGCACAAGCAGAGGCCCTGCCACTACTAATGGGAAGAGAGACAATAAACCGAACACATTGTTCAGCCTGTTACATGGTGAGTGCTCTGTAAAACAGCAGACAAAACCCAAAGCAGCCCAGCCTTGGCTGAAGAACAGGGAAGGTGGTCTGGAGGGTGTCAGAACAAGCCTCTTTGAGAAAGTGATGCTGGAGCAAGGCTTGAAGGAAGAGGAGGAACGAGCTGTTGAACATCTGGGAAAGCGCTCCAGGCAGATGGCGGGAGCCGCAGTGCAAAGGCCCTGAGGTGGGAGTCTGCTCAGGGTGTCTGTGGAGCAGGAAGGGGAACAGGAAGGCGGCCAGTGTGGCTGGAGCTGGTGAGGGAGAGGGGTGGGTGAGGTCAGCGTGGGAATACAGCAGAGGCGGGCGTGGAGAAGGGGTAGGTCCACTTGTCAAACTGACTCAGGCAGGGAGCAGTTCTTTCCATCCCTAATCCATCTCAGACTGGTACTTTTGTATCAGTGTTTCGGTTTGTAGCAATGTCAAGTTGCTATAAAAGTCTAAGTTCTTTCTCTGCCTGTCCTTATGCTGTTCTGTGCCACATGCTAACTAGACTAGTGGTGGGCTTTTGGGTCATTGCAAACCCTTTGGCTTTTACTCAGTGAGCTGGGGAGGCATGGATGGGTTTGGAACTGAGGAGGGACTTGATCCGATTTAGGGATGAGAAGGCTCAGGAGGACCCTCCAGCTATGTACGAAGCAAGGTGGGCCCAGGGAAGCCAGTCAGGAGACCTGCCCTCATCCAGGTGGGAGACGACGTGCCTCGATCTGATGGGGGCTGTGGAGGTCTGGGTGTATCGTGGCCGAGAGGGTAAGAGGGATAAGACCTGCTGCAGGACTGGACCAGGGGAGAGGCCTTTGGGACAGCTCTGATGACTGTCGTCCCCTGGCGAGAGGGCGGCTGATAGCAGAGCAGGTGTGAGCAGAGGCGGGATTGCTTCTGGACATGCTGATGTGCCTAGCAGGCTCGCAGGTGGAGGAGTGGAGGAGGTCTGAGAAGTCTAGGGCGTAGGGAGCGTTCCAGGCTGAAGGTGCCTCCTGCACTCTGGCCTCCCCTGCACTCACATGGTTTCATTGTTCCTGGTTGCCCCCCCATCGAGGCTGGCTCCTGGGCCCACCTGTGTCGGCTGCCTCACTTGGTCATGGGGAGTAGTCAGAACTGCTGTGCAGGTGAAGCTGTGGGGCCCTGAGGGGATCTCTCGGGTTGTGAGGGGTTGGGTTTTGCCTAAGACAATCCAGACAGGGTAGCCAGCTTGTATGGAGTGAACAGCCCACTTGTCCCCCTGCCCAGGGCTCTTTCCACCCTCCCACATTCTGCAGAGCCACTCGTGATGTTCAGCAGGCTGTGGGAAAATTGTGGATGTTCTTCGGGTGGCGGGAACCCATATCAAAGGCCCCACATGGGTTGGGAGAATTGTCCCTGTGAGTCAAGCTGGAAGCCTGGAATGTAGAGATTGCTGCTGTCTTCTGACATGATGCTCACCCCCTCCCTGGGCCTCGGTTGGCCTCCCACAGAGGGAGGGCTCATGAGGGGAGAGAAGGCCTACTCGCCGCCTCAGCTCCCTTTGTGGGCTCCTGCGTCAGTGTCCGAGCCAGGCCCGCACTCGCCTTGCTGCAGCGTGACCGTGACCGTGTGGCTGGGGCCTTGGGTTTCTGGGTGTCAGCATTCCCATTCTCAGGAAAGGTGAAATGGAAGGAAGGGGGAGACTAGAAGTCCTCACTGCTCTGTGATTCCTTCAGGTGGATGAGGACCAACCTGAGGCCCCAGAACCCAGTGGGCAGTGGCGTGCTTTGCATGAGGTGGGTGCTGCCACCTGTGGCCCAGTCTCGCAAGCTGTCCTGATGAACCCCTGCTCGGTTGACACCTTCAGCACTCTGGCCGGTGCAGAGAAGCCGTCGTGGCGGGGGTCAGGTCTGCTCCCAGGGACGTCAGTGCTCCCTACAGGCCAGCCTTCCATTTGGGCCGGGAGCCTGCACACAGGGCAGGTCCCCTTGCACACCATCGGCAGTGATTCGCCACATTTATTTCATTATTTGCCCTGCTTCACTCTAGAAAGCATTGCAGTTGGCAATGTCAGAGGATTAAATAGATACCAGGAAAAAAATGGGCAAAAGGATAATAGGGATAAGAAAATAAGACAAGGCCAGAGTCACACAGAACTGCTGGAGATTTGACTTTGAACGTCTCAGCCACCAGCACCAAAGAGGACAGTTTCTCTTTAGTTGCTGAACAAGAGTCAGGATCCAGATGAGGTCCCGGGAGGCCAAGCGCTCCCTGTGAGGAGGAGAGGCAGGCCCTGAGCCCCGGCCCTCGCGGGAGCGCTGGGCTCTCTATCCTGGCTGCATCCCATGGTCTGCACGCAGTCTCTCGCCGGGAGTGGAGGGATGGATGGCTCTCCCACTCCTATGGAGAGCAGACATTCTTAAACCCATTAAAGAGAGCCTGAAAGCTGTTGTGTGCATCGTTTCCCACGTGGGTTTGAGAAGGCCCTGGAAACAGCCTGGCCCCGGGGCTCCAGGAAAGCTGGTCTCTGCAGCACGGGACGTCAGGGGTGACTGACGCCGTGGCCCCGGCTCTACCAGCACACTGCAGAAGAGCGCGTGTACACACGC